GGGGAGGTCACGGTGGGAGGGATGCAGTGGGGTCCGAGGCCTGGCTATGCGCAGCCAGGAGCGTTGCCTACCGTAGAGCTGGAAGTCGGTTATCGGCGAGAGCGCGGAGCCGCAGGTGAAGACGGGGCCTTGGTTCTCGCCCTTGGCCGGGAGGATGTGCGTGCTCAGGTACCCGCCGTAGTCCTGGGGGAGAGAGGCGGCTAAGTGGGGGGAAGGCAGCAACTCGGCCGCGGAAACAGCCTCGGGCGAGCCGGCGGCCCAGGCGGCCCTTTTCCCGTGGCTGCCTACGACATTTCAACTTACGCAGTTTTTTCAGGGAGGTAAAAAGTGAAAAGCAAATAGCTTCCTGACTCAACGTTACCTGATGCAAGTCTTGGCCTCTTTGGGCCCCAGTTTTGAGGGACGGGAAGGTGACAGGAGCATGGATTGGAAGTGTGGCTGCAGGTCACGGAGGGTTGTGTGTGGGTCTGTGTGTGAGTCTGTGTGTGTGTGTCTGTGCGTGTGAGTCTGTGTGTGTGTCTGTGTGTGTGTGTGTGTGTCTGTGCGTGTGAGTCTGTGCGTGTGTGTCTGTGTGTGTGAGTCTGTGTGTGTGTCTGTGCGTGTGTGTGTGTCTGTGTGTGTGAGTCTGTGTGTGTGTGTGTCTGTGCGTGTGAGTCTGTGTGTGTGTGTCTGTGTGTGTGAGTCTGTGTGTGTGTCTGTGCGTGTGTGTGTGTCTGTGCGTGTGTGTGTGTCTGTGCGTGTGAGTCTGTGTGTGTGAGTCTGTGTGTGTGTGTCTGTGCGTGTGAGTCTGTGCGTGTGAGTCTGTGTGTGTGTCTGTGTGTGTGAGTCTGTGTGTGTGTGTGTCTGTGTGTGTGAGTCTGTGTGTGTGTGTCTGTGCGTGTGAGTCTGTGTGTGTGTGTCTGTGCGTGTGCATTTCTCTGTGTGTGAGTCTGTGTGTGTGTGTGTGTGTCTGTGTGTGTGAGTCTGTGCGTGTGCATTTCTGTGTGTGTGAGTCTGTGTGTGTGTCTGTGTGTGTGAGTCTGGTGTGTGTGTGTGTGTGTATGTGTGTCTGTGTGTGTGTCTGTGCGTGTGTGTGTGTGTGTGTGTGTGAGTCTGTGTGTGTGTCTGTGCGTGTGCATTTCTGTGTGTGAGCGTGTGAGTTTGGGTGTGTGAGCATGTGGGTGCTGGGTGGGGTGCTGAGAACCCACATCCCTGCTGGAGACTGTGTGAAGCCCGTGCCCCGCCTGCCTCGCCCCAGAATGAACTGTTTACGACACAGATGTGTAAGTTTATCCCAGGATAAGTAATAGAGTTTCTCCGATAGGACAGGAATATCTTGTCTTAATGACAATAAAAGAGCTTTTTGGTTCCTGCCAAATGATAGTTATTGTCGGTGGAACCTACGGGGTGGTCTGCCGTCCGTAGGACAGAATCCGCAGACGGCAGCTGGTAGCTGTCCCTTCCCCCGGCTCCCAGGACACCTGGGGAGAGGCCACAGCTCCACCCTCTCGCTCCTAAAAAAAAAATAATAATAATTGCTCGTGCCCTGGCCGGTGTTCTCCGTGGTTAGAGCTTCGGCTCACGTACCAAAGGGTCTCGGGTTGGATTCCCGGTCAAGAAGGGCACGTACCTGGGTTGCAGGGCTGAGCCTGGCCCGGGCCGGGGCGCAGGCAGGAGGCAACCACGCGATGTGTCTCTCACAGGACGTTTCTCTCTCCCCCCCTTCTCTCCCTGGCTCTAATAATTAATAATAATAATAACCTCTCACATCAGCAGACCAGAGACATTCCCAGTAACCCAGGGCCAGGCCTGGGGAGGGGTGGGGAGGGTGGGGAGGGGAGGTCAGACAGGAGACGGTG